TACTCTGGAGAGGTAAAAAAAAAAAAAAAAAAAACAAATAAAACTAATACCTTATACCTTTAAGAACAAGTATGTTTGAGTTTTTTTAAATGAGCAAATACATTAAAGAGACTTGCTATACAAGTCTGTATATACAAGTCCTGCTTGCTATATAATAATTCATTTTATAAGAAGACAAACAACATATCAAGTTTGCTTTAAAAAGACATTTAATTGAAATATTTAATTCTACAATTTTCTATATGATAAAATTTTTATATATTGAGGGAGAAATTCCAAAATATCCCAAGAGGCTATTTTAAAATTTTATATAGTCAAATAAAAATCCCATTTAAAAAAAGTACATGCAGGCTTTCTAGAAAAAAAAATAAGAGCCACACACTTGAACATTTCCATGGGAAAGATTCTCCACCTCCTTTACCTCCCTACCCATGTCTAATTTGCATCTCAAAAAAGAGATTTAAATAAAGAATTCAATAGTCTACTACATAAATATTTAACAGAAGATACAATGCCTTTTAATTTCTTTTTAAAAACCTGATTGGGGTACACAGTTTTGTTTTAAATCTTTTGATGATTTTTTGTTGTTGTTGCAAGAAAATGAGTTTAAGAAAAAAGAAATGTGTCAGAGAGCACAGGAGCAGCTCAGAGGAGGAGAGGCAGAGCCAGTGGTCTCAGGAGGCTGCTCCCACGTCCTTGCAGGCTCCTTTTTGTAAAACCTGATTAAAATTAAGCTTAATTAGATGAAACCAAAGTAAACAGAACTGCAATCTTCATTTTGTTGTCTGTCGTTTCAAGTGAATAAATTTTCTTCAATTCCTTAATTCAGTCCCAAGTAGCAGTAGGCAATCTGACGCCTCAGCTCTATCCCTAGGAAAGCCTTTCCACCTATTAAAGAACAAAAATAGCTCTAGGTTGCAATAAGATAACCCATATCGGTAGGAGTGTAAAGCGATACAGTCTTTTGCTAAAGTAATTTGGAATCGTGTATCACTGTTCAAAAAATATCTTATTTTCTTATTTTGTGGTCCCTACTGCAAGGAAATAAAAGCTAGGTGAATAAGAAAGATTCATATGAATGAATATTTGGCATAACTTTATTTACAAAGCTATAAAAATTGGGACTGACCTTAATATCTAAAAGCAATGTAAATTTAATACACAGTTTTAAAAGATATTCAAATGATCATATATTGCTTTTATAATCATAAAATAACAAATGCTTTTTAATAACAAAAAATGGGATATTGTCCAATTAATATGCTTTTCATTATATACTTGGCATATTCTTTTCTTAAGAAAAGTTAAAATCTTGGTTTCTTCTAAAAGACTAATACAATTTCTATGGGATTTAGTACAATCTCATTTTGTGGTAAGTATGCATGAGTGGGCTGAAAAATGTCATTACGTAAAGAAAATGTATCCCACCATTTCCACTATAAACACTGAAAAGTTGGCATAGCTATGGCCTTAATCCCCTTCAGCAAACCTAAAACTGGATCCTAGTTAGTAACTGGCAAGATCTTATTATTTGATATTTCAATCTTTATGAACATATTCTATTTTATCCCCAATGCCTGGCATAGAGCAGGTACTCACTGAATAATTAGATTAATAAATTCATTCCTCAGAAAAGTGAATGACTCAGATTTTCCTTAAAATGACACACTAGGTCAAGTGGAAACAGGCCTTGAAAACTGAGGGCACAGCACAGTGTTGAAATTAAAAGACAGTAATCTGGATTACAATTATTATACATTATAGAAAATACTAGCATCCAAAGGACAGGTAAACACAAAGCAACGAATGAAAAGACAGATTTTAGTTTTGGAGGACAGTGGAGGGATTTTTGGGGTACAGTTCCAGGTTCTGTTTTCATGCAGGACCACATTTAATTTCTTTCGCCTTCTCATGTGGGCGACAGCAAGAATCAGACAGGTGGAGTAAGCTCTCCAAGTCACTCTGTCAGTACCTGGTAGAACCAGAATTTAACTGATTCCATCTGATTGCAAAGCCCAAGCTTTCTTTGTACATTGTTCCTCAACACATTTGGGATATAAATGGCCTAAACAACACAATCACGTCAACCAGATGCACTCCCTTGCGTAAGAGGGGAGAGACACCTTGCTTCTAAATTACTCTAAATTACTCCGCCATGACCTTGGCCTTGCAGCCATTAAGCAAATCATTTGACCTCTCTGCATTTATTTCATAATACATAAAATGAAGAGAATCATAAATGATACCTTAGGACCCTTCCTATTCTAATATAGCTTTCTAGTTCTAAGAGGATTAAACCTAGAGAAAGAATTCATGTTAAAGTGGTCCCTGATGACTAAATCCCTCCACAGGGGGTCTGAGACAAAAGCTCACCTGGTAATATTCCCTACTGGTACTAAGACAAGGCTTTATAAAAAAGCATTTCTAACACACATGTAATGAAATGACTGGAAGCTACATCGAATTACTGTAATTTCTAACAAATATTAACTTCCTTAAAATATTTACGATCGGCATAATTCTCATGTACAGGTTATTTTTAATATTAAAGAAACAATGCCTGGTGTTTCCTCCCATTTCCCTCCTCTCTCCTTCAAAGTCCTCAACAAATTTGTCCTTTGGGGTGAGTGATAACTTTTCTCTTCTTGCTTTGTATATTTCAAAGCCAAAACAATGCCAGAATGTAAAAAATTTTTCTCTAAAAAAGTTAAACCATCCTTCGGAAACATAAAACAAGGGGAAGCCATTTCTGTTTCTTAAAATAAAAAAGGAACAATAATCGCTTATCAAATGTTTTTATACATAATTAAATAGGAGCATTAGACCTAAGGAAAGTAGGAAAGCAAAGGAAATCCAGAAATCACTGCCAAAAAATTCATTTTGTTACCTTGTCTGATGGTTACTTTAGAATTTCAGTTTCTAATACTAAGTTCTCTTTTTCTTTGAAAAATGCCAGACTCTCCAGGGTTGTGCCCTTATCTTTCAGTCAGTATTCACATGTCAGGCCTGGGTTGGATACCAGTGACAGATAGTTAGGTACATGGAAAACGGACAAGGTCCTGAAAGTCTCAGAATTTGTAATTACAAAGAGGAAACCATGACCATGTGATAGCTGCTAGGTGAAGTTAAGTACACAGGGTTATGGAAATACTTTAAAGAAAAAAAACCGAAATAAAAAAAGTTGTGAAGTCTTTGCTAGGACAAGGGGCAGACTCAAGCGAAAGACCTCGAGGTGAGAGTCTCACACATCTGAGAAATTACAAGGAGCGCTGAGTGGCTGGAGCAGAGACTGCACAGGGAGAGGCTGAAGGGACACAGATGCCAGATGAGGCATGTCCTAGCAGGCCACATGACAGAGCCTAGCATCTCTCCTGGAGACATGGAAAGTTCCTGAATGAACTGCAGCAGCGAGTGACATGATCAATTTCTTTTGCAGAAAAATATCCCTCACTGCAATGTAGAGAATGGATTGAAGGGGGAGAAAGCCTGACTGCAGAGAAATCCTTCAGGAAGTGGCAGCAGTGAGCCTGGTGAGATGATGGGGAAATAACCAAGGCATTTGAGAGAGCAAGGTAAGCCCAGATCTCTGGCTTCCACACCTGAAGAAATGGTGGTGCGTGGCAGACACACTAGTGAATAGCTCATGGCAGCTGGATAGAGGGTTCTGGAGCTACTGAGCTGGAAACAGGAGTATGGTGTTCATCATAACACAGGTGGTACAAACGACCAGGGAGATGTCAGCTAGGGAGCGTGTGCAGAGTAAGAAGAAAGCCCAGGAAGAGCCTTGGGAAACCCACACAATAAAAGAACAGGCAGAAAAGAGGAACCTTTAGAGGAGTGACCAGGGAGATGTCAGCTAGGGAGCGTGTGCAGAGTAAGAAGAAAGCCCAGAAGAGCCTTGGGAAACCCACACAATAAAAGAACAGGCAGAAAAGAGGAACCTTTAGAGGAGAGAGAAGAGCCTGAGTCCAGAAGCAGGAAAATAGAGAGAGCGGGTAAGGAGAGATTACCTGCTGTCTCTGTTTCAGGTGGTGCTCAAAGATTCCTGAAAGGTTAAGCGAAATGGACTGAGAAACAGCCCCCAGAAAACGTCTCCTATGTGCTGTATGGGGACAAATACAAGTGAAACATGGGGTTTTAAGATACCTACTGAGGAGAGTTGACAAATAATTTTAAGGAAAACATATGAAGATAATACACATCACTTCCAAGTATAAAGGAAGGAAAAATGTGACAAAGTGCAAAAGTTTTTCTTTTGCAAATTCTCATCTTCTTTAGCTTGAAATTAAGTATGCAAACCTTTGATTTAAAGATGAGATAGTAAAATACAGTTTTGTGATGTTCTCAAAGACTAACAGATCCAGAAGGAGAGAACACAAGCCCATTATTTTGGCTTGAGGTTCATTCATGACAGCAAGACGCCCTATGCTTCTATCAATATTTACTCTATCATATAATTTACACATACCCTCCCAGTGAATCGGGGTAATACATAAGTACAACCGCAACAAAATCATGTCTTGTGCCTTGTGGGAAGCTGAACTGAGCTCTTCTGTCTTCATATAATTCTTTACTTAAACCCTGTCAGTACAAAAAGCTTCTCACTAGTATTACAAGATAGCATAGCACTCATGATAAGATTTTTTGATATAATTGCTTTATATGCTTACTCTGTTCTAAGAAATAGTAATAACCAGCAATGTATGAAAATGATACCATAAGGAATATTGAATACTAAAGTCTATTACTGTCTATTGCAGCTGTTCCCTTACTTAAGTCATTTTCATTCACATAAATTCATAAGCAGAAATGAATGAGACACAGAAATGTTTCAGTGGGATTCTAATTTCATGTCTCTTACAGGACAACAGGGAATAAAATCAGTGCTTTTATCAAAACATTTTCAGGCTGGTGCTGGTTTACTTTGCTATTGTTTGGGGAAAACTAGGGAATAATCTGAGTCAATGAAAACAGAATGCTAATCTTCAGTTCATTTCTGATATTTTAATTCCGTCTATAATATTCAATGTTTTCTATGAAGGAAAACTTTAAGAAGTGTTACAAATCTTGGTTTGTTTTCAAAGAGACCAAGAAGACGGTTTACTGTCCAGTAGAGTATACATTCTGTGAGAGAAGGCACCCCATTTGTTTTATTCACTGCTGTGGTCCCCAGGACCTAACACATTTTTTGACATATAGTAGCTGCTCAATAAACATCAGTGCAATGAATACTGTCCTGTAGAACATGAACGTATTCGGTTGGCCAAAAGACAAAAAGCTAATAAAGAATATTGTGTCTTGTACACTTACTGTTGGAAATTTTCCATGTAGCACTTTGCAGGGATTATACTAAAAAGATCAGTTACCAATTTGATGACCAATAAAAATTATTATTCAAAATATCAGTCCAGTAGCCTACTCTGAGGGATTGGCTTTTATTTTTATCTTATATAAATGAAAGTGTTTATATCTCACTCTTTTTCATTCTGCGATTTTTAGTTAAGGTTACATTGTTCTCTTGTTGTAGAAATTAATTTGTTAATTACTGTTAGCTCATTCTACATTTGACAAGCAAAAATAATATAAAAATAAATCGATGTCAGTAACCTTTGAAAATTGGTCACCTCTACACTGATTAACCACTGAGCTCAAAAATATTTTTTCTTTGCAAAATATGATTATATTATAGGCTCAGATGTGTCGATGTCAGTAACCTTTGAAAATTGGTCACCTCTACACTGATTACCCACTGAGCTCAAAAATATTTTTTCTTTGCAAAATATGATTATATTATAGGCTCAGATGTGTGGTCATCACAAACTAATAGGCTTCCTTTATGTATTTATTATACAGAGGTTTTAAAATTTAAAAAGTACTTAAACAATTTAGATATAATTCTCAGTTTGTATGATTTGCTAGTAATTTTACCTTAGTTGATTTTTAAATGTGGGGATTTAAGCATCAATAAAAACAAAAACAACAAACTTAGCATTTTCAACAATCTCTTCTCTGCAAATTATTTGGTCTGATCTATTTCTTTTATAAATGGCACATAATTTATAATAGATCTATAAAATTCAGTTTTCTCAGGTTTGAATGTTAATTATCAAATCTGCATATAATTTATTTTGAACTTTCAAATGCTCCACTTAACAAGAAAGTATGTTATTACTTATTTGGGAAAATAGATGATCACACCCTTCAAGAGAGGATGTCCCATGTCTTCCCACTCAGTTCTAATTCCATACTGCGGCACCATTTAGAACCACCCATGGTGTTATGCAGCACAGATCACTGGGAAAGCGGGCACTCAGGAAGAATAGACGCAACCCCACTATAAGGGAAAAAGAAGAGATTGGGGGAGATGGAGAGGCTTACAATACTGCTGACTTCCCAAGAGAACACCAACATGTGAGAAAGCCAGACTGTTCCATATTAGAGACTTTGAAAGAGACATCCCATTTTAGATAAGCAAATGAATAACCAATGATTTCTCCCCAGGATTAAAACCTCCCGATATAACTCTGCCAAACAGAAGAGAAACTATGGCTCTGAGAAGAACACGTGGCCCTGTTTCAAAAAGAGAATTCAGCTCAAGGTACCTTTGAGAGCCCAGTGTGATTTATTCAGTTGGCAATAGGAATACTAAGGAATACTCAAGGAATATTTTGATCACAAAATTAAGAAAACAAATCACAATCCACAGACAAAACAATAAAACTACAACAAGCAAAGATAATTTACAGTCTTTTGAGGAAACATCCCAGAACCTGTCATTCCTTGTCCAATTTTAGGACAGAAATTGAGTCTTACTCCAATTTCAGACACAAGTGCCTTGTGTGTGTGTTGTTTTTGTTTTTTTTAATTTTTTACCTCATTGCACTTGTTTATTCTCCTCGCGACAATAAGCTGGATCATTCCTCGCTTGTTGCCTTCAGTAGACATAGACCTTCTTAGGGTTTCCATGGCATCTTGATTTGTCCTGCCCAACAGGGATTCTCCATTTACTGCTATTAGTTGATCATTCACCCGAAGCCTTCCATCCTGGGAAGAAAACAGGTAAAAATAAGTGCTAGTAAATAGTCTGCTATAAAAGAAGTTGATTTCCCTTTAGTTAAAAAAATAAAAACCAAGCAAATAAAAAGGAAGGGGGGGGGCTTTAATCCTAATGGATTATGCCCAATTGAATGCTAGCATAATAATGTCTAAGTAGCCATTGTAACCTGTGTCTATTTCAATCATTTATACATTTGTAAATCAAGTCATTATCATAATCTGTTTACCAAAATAGCATACTAATTCAAAGGACACAAAGTGATTACTTTCTTGCTTCCAGAAACACACATAGAGGTTATTTACAACCCAAGACATGTAAAAGTTCAAGGCTATTAGACTATTGCAGAGAAGTGCCCCCTTAACAAACAGCCAGGAAATTTTCTCCAGGCTGAGAAACAGAATAAGTGACCCACAAACCCCATAGAGGTTATTTACAACCCAAGACATGTAAAAGTTCAAGGCTATTAGACTATTGCAGAGAAGTGCTCCCTTAACAAACAGCCAGGAAATTTTCTCCAGGCTGAGAAACAGAATAAGTGACCCACAAACAGGGAAGGGAAGGGGAGGGGAAAAATTAGCCTTCAGTATATGCCAGCTCCGTGCCAGGACCTACGCTAGGGCTCTGCATAGATTATCTTCATTTAACTAGCATGACTGTGGGATGCAGGTTCTGTGAGATAAAAAATTAAGAGGTGAAGTCATGGACTCCATTTCAAAATGACACATCACTGAGATTTCTCCGAGTCGTTTGATCATGGATGGGGTATTATAAAGAAACCAGAAAACATCTGTTAACTGTATACACTTCCAAAATAGAAATAGTGCTGCAATTAAACGTTTTTGTTAATATTAAGCATATGATTGATAAAATGGACATTTGCTTACTTTAGATGCTGCTCCTCCATTAATAATGGACTTGACAAAGATTCCCAAATCTGCATGGTTCTCTTTTGACCGGTTACCTTTGACACTGACACCAAGACCAGCAGATCCTGAATCATTAAGTGGAACTTCAAATGTCAGAAACTCCCTGGTGCCATCAGGTGTGAGAACAGTATCCTCATCTTCTGCTTTCTAATAGGGAACAAAATTGCACAGCACATTATATTCCAATGTTTCCTTCTCACAGTTATTTTTAATGATTGTTAATGAGCAGTTCTTTAATCATAACAGGCATAATATTTCCACCAACATTCCACGACAAGATCCATGATAACAGTGCATCTGCATCCCCTCCAGATGATTCCTGGAACCAGCTGTTAATATTTTTATGTGGCACTTATTTCAATATTGAAACAAACCTAAACCAGAGTCTGAGAAATACAGGGGGAAATGTAATGGAAGCACTGAAGACATATAGATTCCTAGAGTTTAGGGTTTGTTTTTTTTTGTGCATGTCTGTTTATTTATTCTAAACCAAAAGAGAAAAATAATAACAGGAGTCAAAATAAACAAATATAATTCATTTGTCCCTTTTTTTTCATTAGAAATTTTCAATGTTATTAATAGTTCAATGTTCACTAATGGTGTATCTTTTTTTATTCACAACAAGAACAAATCCTAATGATACAAAGTCAGCAGAAAAAAATACTCATCAGGTTCAAGAGAGCCACTAAAGAGTTTTAACCTTCACCATCTGTGAGGCAAGGTACAGATAAACATCATCAAAGTACACATAGACGGCAACACAGAAAATTCTTCCAGGATATTGTACCTACATAATACAGCTGGGGAATATTACTCAAGCTATATTGTTTAAATAATTAGGTATATATCAAACTTTACTTTCATAATAGTCATTGCCAAGTACAGAAGAAGACTACTTTACAATACAACACACTTAGATATATAAATTCTTGCTCATCACCCTTAACCCAGAGAGGAAGAAATGAAAGCTCAATGTAGACCCTAATGAAATGCAGGGAGATGACATATTCTGTCACTAAGAAATGTTACACTCCAGCGGAGAAAGCAGTCTGTCTGCTGAGCTCCTCTTCAGTAATCCCCCCTACAGCACCAACTTCAACCACCATCTTTGTGCTAGTTATCTCTGAGTTGGCGAGGCCAGGGCTCTAATTCAAGCTTGGTATTTCCAGCCATGTAATGGACACGTGGCACAAGCTCTACAAACCAAAACAAAATGCCTCATCTAGTCCTATGACCTCTTCCTCCTCCTCTTTTTCCAATTTGGAACTATTTCTACAGCATCTACTTAGTTATTCAAGCTGGAATTATCAAATTATAAATGAAGAATGGCAAGACATAAAATGGCATACAATTAGGCTGGAATTTAATGCATCCTTCAGAACTGTGCCTTTAAACAATGTTCAATTACACAAATAAAAGTCGGGTATTGCAAAGTGATGGTAAGTGGGTAGATTTCAATATTTTCCTTTGCCTCCTACAATATTTTCTAAATTTTCTAATAAGAATTAAAATCAATATAATGATAAAATAATTTTAAAATTGGGGGATTTAACACGCAATCTCAGTTGTCTCAATTAGATTACATAATTTTTGGAAGGATACTATTTATCTGTGATTTTTTTAGATTATCATAATACAAACGATATACTATTTTTAAGTTTTCAAATCCATAATAATGTCATTTGTAAAGTGACATTTCAAATTTACTAACATTCAATGTTAACATTTTATGGTAAGACATCTTTTCTGCCATCTTCAAGCATGGTCTCTTAGTCATTAAGGGAAGGAACACGTCAATTAAATAAAATGGCTAATGTGTTCAAGACACGAAAACTGTATAATAAAAAATGCAAAACATACAAGTTGAAAAGATACAGGGCAATAACTATGCTACCTACTCAAAGTAAACACATATTAGCATCAAAATCCAAATAAAGCCTAAGCCTGCTATTGCAAAACTCTCTTATATTTAAAATATTCCCAGAGGACAACTATAACTCAAATAAACTATTGTATTGGGGAGAAATTATGATCAAATACTCATATCAAAATACAGATATCACATTACACATTTAATACACAGCACTATGTTCATATATACTTTTTGCTCTACAGACCTAAGCAATCAATTTACTTTTTATTTTTATCCATGTGGTTTGAAAGAATTAGAGTATTAAATAATTATTTTGTGTGAAAGAATAGTGCTACCTCAATATAATCTGATACGGAAGCACAAAGCATACGTAAATTTTGATATTTAAAATACAAAATAGCATCAAAACACATCTTAGTCCCCTTCTACTTTCAATTCAGAAGTAACTGAAAGACACAATTTACTCTGTCAATCTGTATCTATATTCCTGGAAAAACTGCATTTGAAAAGACATGAAAAACAAAGATAGTCCTTAGGTGGATACATTCATGCCTGATCATTCGGTGTGCTTACTTGCCTCAAATCTGGAAGGTTCTTAGCTGTTACCTACTGATTCGGATCTTCAGTTTGGCTTTTTAATGTTTACTGATTTTGACTAAGACTAAGAGTTAAAATTCTCATTTTTTTTTCTACTTGAAAAATCAAGACAAGGAGCTGACTGAATATGAGAAGAAAAATTTTAATCAAATTGGAATCATTTCCTAACTGCCATACTCTGACCCTGTTTTAAAGGAGACCACATCCTCCACGGGACAGTTTCATTTATTATGAAAACAGCATGATGGGAATAATCTTTTTCAGCTTCCTTATCAAGTCTTAAGTCATTATAATCATTAAAAACATTTTAGTGAGAGAGTGTATATTTCATTTGGTATTCTGTTATTAACCCATTTGGCCCTTGACATTAATGCCAACTTTTAGAACTTAATTCTCTGGTGGCACAATGTTAAAAATTTGTTCTTCAAAAACCATTTAACATGTTATATTATGGAGAACTTTCACAAAGTCTTACTAGTATGGGGATCTCTAAATTCTGATATAAAGCAGTAGCTGATTTTCTGTCACCTTGTTATTCCATCTAGATTCTGTAATTATCAATTGTTTCTAAGTTCTTTCTACAAAAATATAATAAATGTGTTTTCTTTAACTTGCTTCTTGAGTCATTTGTGCGTGGTCATGTCACTCAAGTGCATGTGTAATGTGTCTTTCATGTACATACATGTCTGTATACATTGAGTGATTTTTTTCCATCAAAGCAACCCATCAGTTCTTCCTTTGCCCATTTTTCCATCGGCACCTTTGCCTTTTAATGCCCAGGAAAAAAGGGGCATTTTTGCTAAGCATATTAGAAATAGAGAGCCTATGAAAGCTATTTACTTTCCTACTATTCTCAGAACAGCAGAAAAGATGTACACTTTTATCTGCAGTGAGACAGAGATATATATGCAAGTGGCCGCCACCACCATAGGCTGGTCTTCTTTCTTCCATAAACAACAGTCCCAATAGCTGTGAGGACACAACTGGCCCACAGGCCACTCTAAGTCTGCAGTAAATCTGCAGCACAGGTGTGTCTACAGAAAAGGAAATGATGGTTGATCACGTTAAGCAGCAGAAAAGTAATCATGTGAAGAGTTATCTCTGAGCCTCAACTTAGGAAAATTTTGATAAGAATGTACAAAATATTGGGAAGAGGCAGAAGAGACACGGTCTACACAAATAATCATATAAGACCATAAAATTACAACAGTGAGTGGCAATATCTGATTTTGGGCTCTGCAAAAAAAATAAATGACTCGGCAAACGTTTTATCACCCCACTACAATTTATTGATTTCTCTCCCAACATCTGCCCTTCTCCATAAAGTTAATATCTTTAATGCATAAATCCCTGATAAATTAATAACCAAAAGCTGAACACTCCCACATCAAATGGGAAAGGGATGTGAACAAGCCATTCACTAACGATGAGTGGACCAATAAGTAAGCCTTCAAGTAAAAGGTTCAATCTTACTTGCAAAGAAAGACATGCAAATTAATCTATCAGCAAAAGTTAACAAACTGCTAAAGATTTTTTCTTTTAAATAACGATATCCGACAATGAAGCTGTGCTGAATTGGGCACATTCTTGCACCGATGATGAACATGATCCTAAATTGGAAATTGAGCAGAATTCTATTCTTATTTATTCCTTCCTTCATTTACGCTATGAAGGACATTCATTGGGACAACTAGTAAAACAATATTTTTAAATCAATGTTAATTTACTGATTTTGATAACTATAATGCAGTTACATAGGAAGATGTACTTCTTAAGATACACACACGGAAGTATTTAGGGATAAAGGGCAAGTATGACTAATTTATTCTCAATTCAGAAAAAAATTATATAGGGAGGACTGGGTGAAAAGAGGGGGTAGAGGGAAGAAAATTATATATCAAATATGGTAAAATATTAACAACTGGAGAATGTAGATAAATGATATACTAAAGTTCTTTGTACTCCGGGAACACCATTTAACTATTCTGGGGATTTTTTTGGCAGCTGGCCAGTCATTTACATCTGCAGTGAGACAGAAAGAGATCTGAACTCTTGTTCATGGTGTTGTAACACCATGCTCTAACCAACTGAGCTATCTGGGCAGCCCCACTATTTAAATATTAAAGTGTCTTAGAAAAGTATTTCATGAGACAGAAAAGTATTTATGACTAAGAAACTGGGCTTTACCCTGTGGGTTTTCATATCTTCTAGTATGTCACCCAACATAAGCCTCAACACCCTATTTTTAAAAATTGTTGAATGTCAATCATCCCATATCAGTAGAAGATTCACAAGGAAGGGATTTGTGTCCGTCTTCACCTGTGCCTGGGGTGGGACATTTATTAGCCATAGGATATGTGCCTGGGACATTTTATATATTAGAGATATAGGTAAAGAAGAAAACCATTAAAAATATACATCAAAATGATGACACTTAAGTCAGAGAGTTGCAGGTGATTTTGATTTTCTTCTGTGCTTGACTGAATTTTCTACAGTCAATATGAATTACTTTTGTAATATAAAAAAAGTCCATTGGGTACCATTTCTTTAATACTCCTTCCTCAAAAACACAATGTTGGGGAGGACAAATTGGTAGAGGGTTATATATGGTAAGCAGGGGCTGGTGCTGGGAGGGGATGGATGATGGATGAGTACCTGATGAGGTCTCCTAATCCTC